TAAATACTTAGAGGATTACATAATATTGCTGGCCAAACAAAAGCCAGTAAACAGTAGAAGCACTGGGGAGTAGAACATTGCATCAAGAAATAATTGTATGTTGGTAGTAGTCTTAGCCCGGGGGAAAGGGGTGTTATGTCCCGAGCCTTGCAAACGGGCTCGGGGCGTTTGCAGGCAGTCCCGGGCAGGTGCAAGCTGCCCGGGACCAGACAGGCTGTCGCCAGCGCCTGTGCGCATGCGCGGGTGCTGGCGCGGGAAAAGTAACACATTGACCCGGGGATTGCCTATATAAGAGGCTGGGAGGTTTTGGGCGTTGCTGAAGCCTTCACCTGTAAGCTGAACACAGAATAAAAGAAAACCTGAGAACTACAACTGCTTCTCGTGTCTGCTTTTCGCCAAGGACTCAACAGTTTGAATGCAGTGATGAGTAGAAGTTTGAATCTTTACAAAATGGAGACCTTTTATCAATTGGGAATAGTGAGAATGTGATGGTTGTATGTTCTCAGTATGTACATGGTTTCAGGTATTGAGGCTCAATTTATTTTTGTGACCAGGAGTGCTTATTACTGGCTTTATTTGGAAATTACTAATCGTGTTTTGTGCATATCAGCCTTATCCACTCATGGGTAACCTTATGCTTAGGTACTGTAGTGTGTTTGCACTTGGTCTAGAAGCTCATGAAAAATGTAGCAATTGGTTGTTTATGTGTAAATCTGATGCCTGTATTGAAATAAATGCCCTGAAGGCCTGTTAATCCACTGAGTCAGATTCGGGGTTTTGTTTATGATATAAATGGCACTAAATACCGTACAATTAGTCCTTGACTTACAATCATTCATTTAGTGACCGTTCAAAATTACAGTGGCACTGAAAAAAGTGACATATCTATTTTTCACACAACCGTTGCAGCATCCCCACAGTCAGGTGATCAAAATCTGGACACTTAGCAGTTGGCTTGTTTTTATGACAGTTGCACTATCCTAGGGTCATATGACCATTTTTTGCGACCTTCTGACAAGCAAAGTCAATGGGGAAGCCAGATTCACTTAATTAACCATGTTACTAACTTTAACAACTTCAGTAATTCCCTTAACAACAGTGGAATGAAAGGTCATAAAATGGGGCAAAATTCACTTGACAACTCTCTTGGCTTAGCAATGGAAATTTTGGACTCAACTGTGGTAAGTCAAGGAATACCTGTAACATGGAACCAGAGAGGTTGAAGTTGGCTAAAGTGGGGGGGGAAAACAAGCGTCATTGTTAAGACACTGCAGGTACTGTTAGCCTCCAGAGCTGAAAAATGAGTGGACTTTCACTTACGAATAAGAAGATGTAGAGTTTACACTCTTGAACTGATGTATAAACATGGCTAGATTCCCAGATTCTGCAGTGACTGATCATCATTGTAAGAGTTTTTCCTCACATCTGCCTAAAAAAGAAACAGACTTATCTATGGAAGTGAACCACGGCCTTGACTCTTCTACAGCTAAGCTCCTGCATGTGTGTTTGTGTTTCTTGAGAGAGATTTATTGCCACACTATCAGGTGACGACCCTTGATCAGTTTTGTTTTGTTTTCATTTTCCTCTCCTTCCTGCGCATGTTTTTAACAGTTTATTATTTTTCTGGTGCATTTTATGTATTCTATATCTCTTGCAATACTATAATATTGGAAACAATATAGTATACTGAGTAGTAAGAAGAAACAGCCCTGACAATCATGGTTGACATTTTAACTATGTTCCCCAAAACTGTTGGAAGAGAGTGATCTACTTGCGTAGATTGTACTTCTCAAATAGCTCCTATTATTTTTCCCCTTAAAAGCCACCGTCAGTAAAACCATGATTACAGGTCTTCTAAGATACTTAGCCAGTTGATCTAGTACACCTGAGTAATTTTTTAAAAATTTTTTAATTGCTTTTGTGTAACTCTTGGCTGCCAATTAATGGATGTCTGGTAACTGCTACTCAGAACACCAGAATATGGAAACAGAGTTGCCTATATTTAGGAAATGCTTGTTATCCAAGATCAGACTAGCCCCCAATTTGTATTTTCAGAACAGAAGTTAAAACTTGGCTTACTAAGAAAGCCCTGGAAGGAAGCATAACTATAACTTAGAAGCCCCATCTTGGCTGAGGTTGGAAGTTTTGTTCATGATGCTCTTAGTCTTTTTCTTTTCTTGTAACTTTTGTTATTATTTTGTATTGTAATAATAAAAATAATAATAATAATAGTAATAATAATGATGATGATGATGATGATGATGTTGGAAGGGACCTTAGAGGTCATCTAGTCCAATCCCCTGCTCAGGCAGGAAATCCTATACCATTTCGGACAAATGGCTGTCCAGTCTCTTCTTAAAAACTTCCAGTGTTGGCGCATTCACCGCTTCTGGAGGCAGGTTGTTCCACTGGTTAATTGTTCTAACTGTCAGGAAGTTTCTCCTTAGTTCTAGGTTGCTTCTCTCCTTGATTAGTTTCTATCCGTTGCTTCTTGTCCTGCCTTCAGGCACTTTGGAGAATAGCTTGACTCCCTCTTCTTTGTGGCAGCCCCTGAGATATTGCAACACTGCTATCATGTCCCCCCTCGTCCTTCTCTTCATTAAACTAGACATACCCAATTCCAGCAGCTGTTCCTTATATGCTTTAGCCTCCAGTCCCCTAATCATCTTTGTTGCTCTTCTCTGTACTCATTCTAGAATCTCAACATCTTTTTTACATTGCGGTGACCAAAACTGGATGCAGTATTCCAAGTGTGGTCTTACCAAGGCATTGTAAAGTGGTATTAATACTTCACGTGATCTAGATTCTATCCCTCTGTTAATGCAACCCAGCACTGTGTTGGCTTTTTTGGCAGTTGCAGCACACTGCTGGCTCATATTTAAGTGATGGTCCACTAGGACTCCGAGATCCATTGTTTTGTTACAGATAGTCCTTGACTTATAACCATTATTTTAATGACTGTTCAAAGTTACAATGGCACTGAAAAAAGTGTTTTATGATTGTTTTTCACACTAATGACCATTGCAGCACCCCCAGTCATGTGATCAAAATTCAGATGCTTGGCAACTGACTCATATTTATGACCGTTACAGTGTCCTGGGGTCATATGATCACCTTTTGTGACCTTCCAACAAGCAAAGTCAATGGGGGGAAGCCAGATTCACTTAATAAACATGTTATTAACTTGAGAACTGCAATGATTCACTTAACAACTGTGGTAAGAAAGGTTTTAAAATTGGATAAAACTTACTTAACAACTGTCTTGTTTAGCAACAGAAATTTGTGGTCATAAGTCGAGAATTACCTGTATATATTTTTTGCATTTTTAACTCTAAAAAGGAATGGAAACTGCTGTAGAATAATATGGAGTTAACCTTGACAAAGATGTGCAAGAGCAATTAAGGGAAAAGTAAAAGACAGTTCTGTCCTGGGAAAGGGGCAGGCTTGAGAATCTTTCTTAAAATTTATTTATTTAATCAAATCTAGACACTGCCCATCTCACTTTCCAAGTGACTGTGGGCAGGTTATAAGTAAAGATTGATGATGATGATGGATTCATTCAAAATGGATAAAAAAAGTAAAGATCATAAAACCGTATAAAGAGATACAATTAAAATAGACTTAAAAGAAAGACAAGGAACAAGGAAAAACAAAGGTAAAAAGGTAAGTGAAAACACAGGGGGAGTGCCTTCAAGGTACCAACCAACCCCATGTGAGTTGACAGAGCCAGGTCTTCATGCTCTTCTGGAAGACCAGGGGAGTGGGGGGTTAACATCACCTCTGTGGCAAGGATGTTCCATAAGGCAGGGGCAATGGCCTCTTCTTAGATTTCACCAAGAAACTAAGTTCTTTAACCCAGGTCTGTGGACTGGTACTGGGCCGCAGCATGCCAGCAACCAGTCCGCACAAACAAGCAAAGCCCCATCCGTGGGATGCAGGCAGCACACAAAACCACACACTCTCTGGTCTGTGGAAAAACCTTTCTCCATGGAACTGGTCCCTGGTGCCCAAAAGGTTGAGGACCTCTGCTTTAACTGATAGGGTCAGATATTTGCTCCTGCCATTTGCCTGTTGGGTTACTCAGCAAAATTTGGATTGCTGTGCCTTTAATATTGTGCTTACTGTCACAGAAGGAAGCCTGTTGCCATATAGAAAACGATGAAGGCACAGATGTCCAAACTGGTGGCCAGAGGTTTTTCAGCGTTAAACCAAATAAATTGTCCTTTCTCCTACTTGTAGAATCCCAGCAGGATGCAAAAAGACAATTTTGGTAGTTCTGCTTGCTGAAATTGCCTTGTTTATCTTTTTTGGCTTCTGGGCTATCTGCGTTCAAATTTAAAGTAATTGGAAGTCACCTAGTAGCTTCTTTTTACGCTCTTTGAGTAAAATAGATTTATGGAAGCATTAACTTGGGTATTATTGGAGCCTCACACTTCCGATGCAAGCCAATCAATCTTGACTAATAAAGCTTTCCTTTTTTTGTGCTTGGAATAAATTCCATTCAAACAGTTTTAAATAAAATGTGTAATTTGGTTTCTTTGTGGCATCCTGGATGTTCAAATACATTAGGGTCAAGAAGGATTAGGGTGAGAGATCCCAAGCTACTAAAAGGCTCTGCGCAAAAGCTCTTTTCTTTGAAGGCATCCATTTGGGTTTTCAGGTTTTCCACTCGCATCATCTGTGCATGCTGTCAGGGTCTCATTTTCTCCAGATCATTGTAAGGCTTGGGTTTCTATTGAGTCTTTCTAAGAAATGGTGGGTTATGGTGGATCATTCTGCCATCCTGAATACAGTATTGAGATTACTGTATTGCAGATAGATTCCTAAATATATTAGGACTTACTGAGGCAGAAAGTAAGTTTTAGTAAAGGACCGTATATGCTGAATCGTGTACTCTCAAGTATTCCCCAAGAAAAATGATTGATGTCTAGGGCAGACTTTGCAAGACGAGGCTAAACCTTAATAAAAAAAAATTAATGCATTTTTAAAAATTTTCTCAGGCAAGAAGAAAAATCCAGGCTTGAAAATTCCTAAAGAAGCATTTGAACAACCACAGACAAGCTCAACGTATGTATACCTTAATATTGTTATGGTGGGATGGATGCGGGACACAGGGAGAGAAAAGGGCTGGAGCAATTCAACCTCAATCCCCTAATTCCATGAGTTTCAGCAGATTCTAACAGACCTGAAGAGTGACTGCTAGAGTGGCTTATCAGCTCTCCTTTGTTGCAAGTGCTGTGTTTGATTAAAAGTGAGAGCAAAGAGAACTTTTGATGAGAACTAAGGAGGTATGTGCTAATTCAGTGGGCTTATGTTGCATGGAATTAGTGTTATGTTCCCTGCAAAAGCTGGATGATGGTACTGAGATCTGGAAAAGATGTTAATAAGCCCTTAACTCCTATGAGTCTGTCCTGACATCTTTAGGATAGGCTCATAGGAGTTATGGGCTTATTAGACCATAGGTTGCTGTAAGTTTGTGGAGGTGGCAGAGCTTTGATAACTGGCTGGACGTTTTTCAGAACTGTTCAGAGTTTCAGGAATCCACGGATTAAGAATGGTTTGGCATGACCATTTGGATGATCCAGTAGGTGAAGTTGCCTGTCTCCTGTGCTTGATCAAGGATCAGCTGGAGCTATATAGTCAGATGTTGCCATGCTCTCTCTGCCCTTTAGCCCTAATTACCCTAGTTTCTGACTGTTGGTCCTGAATATATGCTTGGCTTGTAATAAAGTTTCCCTCATCTACAATCTAGTTGTGCATGCCTACCTTGCATGTATTACATGAACCTTGCAGGACATGGGGCTGAGGTGGGGTGCCCCTCTTGGAAGCGTGCCCACCAATGTTTTGTTTGGTAGGCATCTCTGGGGTAGGGGCAGAGGTGTTGTGATTGTCATTTGAGGGACTGATATGATACATAATTTTAGCTGTAAATTACAAACCTATAGTTACCTATATATCTAGTACATATATATTTTTGAAGGGTCCTTGGTGTTCTTCCCTCGTTTCAACTCGGAGTTACAAATATTCTCCTTTATCAATACTGATTTTTTTCAAAATAGGCAAACTGGTAGATTAAAAAGCAGCAGAAAATAATGCACAGGGAGATAACCTTTGTGTGTGTGTGTGTGTGTGTGTGTGTGAAATCACAGTATAGTTGGTGAGTGCTAGCTTCTGCATCACATTTTAGGATATTGGGAATCATTAAACTGTGATGTTGAAGTAGCGGTTTTTGAATTACTTTTACATTGCATTCTAACAAGCTCCGTACTTGGAACTTTTTGACTCCTCAGTTGTGGAGTTTTCATTCATTTCAAGGCTGTGACATAGATGAAAATGTCAGACAATATTTCCTTACTTGATCTGCAACAATCAACAGGAGAAAAACCAAGTTTCTCTTCTCCTCTTGTCTCTTGCTTTCTGGGTTATGTCTTCAGTTAGCTTTGTAGTCTGCTGGGGCCTGGAAAGTCCTTTCCGCTGCTTCCAGGAAAAATATAATGTTTGCCTAGTGTGCAGGGTCATGGAAAGTGACTTGGAGCCTTGACATTTGCTGGATTAATGATTAATTGAGGATACCTTGACAAATTTGTTAGATAACAGGATAACAACCTTTTTTTCCACTTGCTCTTGACTGTGTCTGCTGTATTTCCTTTCAAAAAGATCTGTTTTAGCTTATAGGGTCTTTTGGATGCAGTTCCTAAGACTTAATACAGTATCGTCTTCTTTTCCCCTCTCCCCTCTTCTTTCAATTGATAACAAAACATTCAAAACACTAACAGAAGTACAGTCTCCACCAAGAACCTGATACTGCTCTAGCAACCAATAGAAGAACTTCTTAAGGCTAAATGTTCTCTTGTGATCAATTTCCTAGAGCAGAACTATTTCTTTTCTCCGTTCTTTAGCTTTCAGTTGGCCGTACCTATGTCATTGATACCGTAAATGTCTGGAAATTATAGCAACTCAGGTTTGGCTGTCTCACCAGTAGACATTAAATATGCCAGTGGTAGGGAAGAAGTTACCAGTTTGGGAATGGGGAAGATTTAAGGCTACTGTAGAATGATCAATAGATAAATTGAGGTGAACAAGATTATTTATGAAGTCTATGTAAAAATAACGCTTTGATACAGATTTACAGAGGCTTCTCACTGTAAATAAGGTGTCGTGTGTATAGTTGCACTGTTCCAGTGTTCACATGTTACACTTCTGGTTGTTTGATGTGACCCATCACAAGAGTATACTGTTGTTTCTACCCTCATGCCTCTTGCCTCCTTAAGCCTGTCTTAGCGTTTTGATAGCCCCTAACAGTCTATTTTTTTAAAGTTTCTTTTTCTTCAAGTTTCAGTGACAGTGTCCTTTCTGACCATAAACTAACACTCACTGCCCTAGTTTTCTACACTATAATCAATATGTCTTGCAGATATAGGGCACTAAATAAAATCAACATCAGCAACATTAATAAGTCAGTTAGGTCAGGAAAATTTGAGGGGGTCTTTAACCTCCCCTGCTGTTAATCCTAACCTATTATCCTAACACGTAAAGGCTACTGACACAAGCTGTGTCTGCATATATGTATGAATGTGTGCGTGTGTGTGTGCAGGCTGTCATTTATTACTCCCTCGTATAATGTGACGGTAATATCTAAAAACTGGTCCATTCCAGTTCTGTGGAATATCTGCTGGAATTCACTGCAGGTTGTGATGCAGATTTCCCCACTTCACATTACTAGCAGCTGCTGATTGGGAACTAGACAGGGAGTAATGATGGTTGATAGCTGTTTCATATTTACCCCAGTATCAGAATTTAGCTCTGAAATATTCATGGAAGTTAAAAACTATTCTAAGTTTAAAACAGACGGTGAATATATTTTTCAGTATTGCTATTTAGGAGTTCTGAGTTATTTAAGCAGCCTTTTATTCTTTATAAAAAATGGAACAATTTAAGAAATGAAATACCATAAGCAAGTTTCTGTTGATACCAGAAGTTGAAAATTCATGGGCACATGGAGTTTGGATTATGTTGAGGAATTCAGCTTCACATCTTCTGCAGGATCCAAGTCAGTCACTGGGAGCAGAGGTTTTCTCTTCTGAGCTTTCAAACCCATGCTGGAGCCCATCTTCAGGCAACCTCTCTCTAGCAGAATGTATGTTGTTCTGTGTGTGGTATTTATAGTGCCTGTTGTAAGTGGCTTTTTAGATGTTGATTAGGGTATGTTGACGACTGGCTTTTAAGTCCTTGGTTGTCCTTTGCTTATGCTGCCCAGCCCTCGCCTTCTAAGTACTTGATAAGCTGGTGGTAAATCAGCACTCCTGTTGACTGATGAGGGGCCTGTTTCCCAGGCTTCAATCACTTCCCTGGCTGTTTTTGTGCCTGCTCGTCCAACAATCGTGGTTGCTGCAAAGTTGAATGTGTGTCCTTGTACGCTGCAGTGTGAGGCTACCAATGAGTTCAGGTCTCCTCGTCTGACCGCTTGCTTGTGTTCTTGTAATCTGGTGGTTAACTTCCTTCCAGTCTGTCCTACATAATCACAGGGGCAATCCATGCAGGGGATTTGGTAGGTTACATTGGAAGTATCTCCCACCTCCAAGCAATCTTTGCAATGCATTAATTTGTCCTCGTATGGTAGCCTCTGGGCGGTGTGCGATGCCCACCTGCAGATCTCGGAAGCTGCATTCTACAGCTTCCAAAATGTTTTTGATGTATGACAGGGTATGCCATGTGGTTGGCCTTGTACCTTGTTTCTTCCTTTCTCTCCCCACCATGTTGCACAGACATCTTGTGACAAATGATTGTGTATACCCATTCTGCTTGAATTGTTCACGTAGGTACCTGCTCCCAGCTGTTTGGCTTCCTGGGTACTACAGTGGGTTGTCACCCTGACATATAGTATTCTGATGTAGAACTATATAAAACAGATGGGGAAGAAGCTAACCACCAGATTGCAAGAACACGTGAGCGGTCAGACGAGGAGATCCGAACTCATTGGTAGCTTCACACTGCAGCGAACAAGGACACACATTCAACTTTGCACTGACGAAGATTGTTGGACGAGCAGGCACAAAAACAGCCAGGGAAGTGATTGAAGCCTGGGAAACAGGCCCCTCGTCAGTCAACAGGAGTGCTGATTTACCACCAGCCTACAAAGTACTTAGAAGGCGAGGGCTGGGCAGCACAAGCAAACAACAACCAACAACTTAAAAGTCAGTCATCAACACACCCCAATCAATATCTAAAAAGTCACTTACAACAGGCACTATAAATACCACACGCCGAACAGCACACATTCTGCTAGACTCTAGCAGAGTTGCCTGAAGATGGGCTCCAGCATGAGTCCAAAAGCTTGGAAGACAAAACGTCTTGTCTGGGTGACCAACCCAGATTGGATCCTGCAACATTATCCTAGGATATGTGTGTTCGCCTTCATTCGTTAGCATCTTCTGATTTTTTTCTGTGCTAAGTTATAGTTGACTTAAGTATAGGAGTCCTTTTAAAAAGAAACATTGCTGACCCTTTGTAAAAGAAGGGATTTATCAGTGCTCAGTTTACTTGTAGCTATTCCTGTCATGGATAAGGGCAAGATAAATAAGGTATTTTCCAGGTAGGCCTACTTGTCAGTGTAATTCATCAGATCAGATTAAATGAGCAAAATTGAAAAGTTACAGTATATCTCTCTAGGTGAATAATTAAAATAAAACAGATGGTTAGCAGAAAAGAGCCTTAATGAACTCTAACTTCAACAGTATATAAGAAATCAAGGCCAAACATAATATGTGGGTCTTTTATGGTGAGCAAAATATACTTTGAGAAATGCTTCAGTTAGAGGAATTATTTATTCTTTTAACCACAGTACTATAGGAGCTCAGTGGTTAAAGATGCTGAGCTTGTCAGCTGGAAAGCTGACAGCCCTGGCCACGCAATGGGGTGAGCTCCCATTCCTTGCTCACCTAGCAGTTTGAAAGCATGCAAATGTGAGTAGTACCACTTCGATAGGAAGGTAACAGCATTCTATAAGTCTTTGGTGTATAGCCATGCTGGCCACATGACCACGAAAAACATCTTTGGACAACATTAGCTTCCTTGGCCAAGAAACAGAGATGATCACCACACCCTAGAGCCAGACATGGCCGTACAGGAAAACCTTTACCTTTACTTCACTATGAGAGCTCAGAGGAAGCAAATGAAAAGACAATTGCTATCCATTGAAATGATCCATGTATATTTGGTGGAGTTAGAGCAGTGGTTCTCAACCTTTTTAATGCCACGACCCCCAACTGGTCGTAGGTTGAGGACTACTCAACTGGTCGTAAGTCAAGGACTACTCAACTGGTGCAGCATCGTTTGCAGAATGGGACTTTTGGCGGGCTCAGCAGGGCAGAGACAGCCTGGACAATTCCTATTGGCTTTTGAAAGCCAATAGAATTAGACTCATTCAAGAGAGTCTATTCTATTGGCTTTCAAAAGCCAATAGAATAAAAGGGAGTAGCACAGCTAAGGAAAAGGGGGGAAAATGGCGGACTGCGTTGTTTGGCGACCCCCGTGAAATGGTCGTTCGACCCCAAATGGGGTCCCGGCCCACAGGTTGAGAACCACTGAGTTAGAGGAATGGTTACTTTGCATGGAAGAGAGGTTATAGCATTAATAATATGGCTAATTAAATGGGAATTGGAGTTTGGATACTGATAACTGGACACTAGTATTTCTGAAGTTCATTTCAGATCTGGTGTTAAATCAGAATTGAACATAATTCAAGGCGCATCTCCTCATGCACACATATCTCATGCAAAACATTCCAGAGGTAGAATATTTTAGTGAGAAAGAGAGGGGGGGGGGGGAGGGAGGGAGAGAGAGACCGACCCAAGCTTACCCAGCTGGTTTTCATGCTAAGGCAGGACTAGAACTCACATGGTTTCCCAGTTTCTAGCTTGGTACCTTGAATGACTGATAAAGTAATAAAGGTGTGATTTAAAAAAGTCATCTGAATAGGCTGTATGGCTTTGAGGGTTCTATTTTGGAAGTGCCAGAAGTGCATCAGTAAACTTTCCCCAACAGCTGGCTACTATGTACATGCCATCCATACAGAAGAGAGGCACTCCATAGATTTTTGTTTGCATTGTAAAGAAGTCAGAAAATATAATACAGAATAACATAGTTGGAAGAGACCTTGGAGGTCTTCTAGTCCAACCCCCTGCTCAAGCATGGGATCCTAAACCATTCCAGACAAGTGGCTGTACAGTCTCTTTTTAAAAGCCTCTAGTGATGCACCCACAACTTCTGAAGGCAAGGGGTTCCACTGATGGTTCTACCGTCAGGAAATTTCTCCTTAATTGTAGGTTGGACCTTACTTTGATAAGTTTCCATCCATTATCTTTCTCTTGCCCTCAGGTCTTCTAGGTTGCAAGTTTCCTCTAGGAATAGGTCTAGTTTGCTACCAGCCTTCCAACCCAGATGTTCCATAGAGTTTTCTCCATTTTGAGACCTTTATTAATTTTAAATAGGCATAAACTTGTATACCTGCAGAAATGAAAAAAGAGGGGAAGGATGTTTTCATCCCACCCACCCATTTTATTTCTATAATTAAAATGGTCTTTGGTTCATTTGCGAGATGCTTCATTGAGATAACAGATCTAAATTTGTCTTTTGGAGGCTTTTGAAGAACAGGAAACTCTTCAGAATAATATTTTGAATAATTACGAAGAATATTTAAAAATTGTTCGTGTTTCCATTTTTTTAACTGATCAACAAAGTAATTTACCTGTAATATAAAGAATGGAAGAGATCAATTAAGTAAGTGTTTAACACTTAAGATATTTTCTTAGGCTTAAAATATATTTATGTCTGTTCCCAAACTATACTTTGGGGGGTCCTTTGAATAATATAATTGTTGCTTTTGTATGGTTGTTGCTGCTATTGCTATTTTTTTAAAGTTCTTAATATTTTAAAAAAGTTCAATGTTTTATTGATCATTATTATATGATAATTAAAAATATTTTTTAAAACTTGAGACAGTTATAAAACTTCTTGTGATTGCTGATTATTGGCAAACTCTAATCTTACATTCATACTTTAAAAATTACTTGATAGAAAACTCACATGCGTAAGTAGTTTCTTAAAAGAGCTGTATTTTTAAAGTATACAATTTAAAAATGTATTAATTTTCAAACTCTCTTGATAATTTTTTTTAAAGATCTGTCCAAATCAGTATTTCTTCTCTGACTAGATTAATGCATTTTTCTATACAGGTATTCATAGGGGAGACTTTAAATGCAAATCAAATAATTTTCTCATTTTTTTTTCTTAATTTCACAGGCCACCTAGAGATTTGGATTCCAAAGCATGCATTAATATTGGAGACAAGGTATAGTGAAGATAAAAATATGGTGGGCATGTATGCTTGTTGAGAGGACTAAGATGGAAATTAATGAAGAAATGAATAGGGATTAATGTAGTAGTCTTAAATGTCTCTCTCCCTTTGTATGTAATTTTATTTCTCAGTCTTATTATTTACATTTTTATTTATTATATCTTTTATCTGTTAAATCCAACATTCAAAAAGCTTTATCATTTTAAAATGATGTGGACATTGAATTAACTTTCCTTTAAGAGCATCAATATAGGTAGATACTCATTCAGCAACCATTCATAGTTATAATCGAGATGATAATGGGGACTTAAAAATGGTCCTCAGAGCTCTGGCTTCTCAGTGCTACCACGGCAACATGATGGCGATGCTCGGTGCCCACCTTGCAGTTATGACATTACATCAAGTCATAGTCAAATGATTGTGTTTTCCAATGTTTTCTGACAACTTCCTGTAAGCAAAATCAATGGGAAAGCCATTGGGAAATTGAAAGTTGTTCCTGTTCCTGCTGCTTTTTCATCCAACTGCACTTTGCAGTGCCTGCCTACCCCTTGCCTGTGATACTCCTCCCCCTCCAGTATCCTCACACCTGCCCACGATCCAGAGTCCTTATCCACAATGCCCCTCCACCTGTATTTTTCACCGGTGGTGAATCTGGCGCTGAGTTACATCTGAAGTGATCTGGGAAAATGGAAGAGGGATGACAATGAACTACTATCTTTTTGAGTTCCAAAGAAAGAATATCTCTTGTATAAATCACTTCTCTAATCTAGTGAAAGGGGGAAAAAACCCTGTGCAAAAGATTAGGCAGGCAAAAGCAAAACTATTTAATGTCTGAAAATCAGGTGTTTAATTCTTTCCCTTTAGGGCAGTGGTTCTCAACATTTTTAATGCTGCGACCCCCAACCGGTCGTAAGTCGAGGACTACTCAACTGGTGCAGCACCGTTTGCAGAATGGGACTTTAGGTGGGCTCAGCAGGGCAGAGACAGCCTGGACAATTCCTACTGGCTTTTGAAAGCCAATAGAATTAGACTCTATTCAAGAGAGTCTATTCTATTGGCTTTCAAAAGCCAATAGAATAAAAGGGAGTAGCACAGCTAAGGAAAAGGGGGAAAAAATGGCGGACTGCGTTGTTTGGCGACCCCTGTGAAATGGTCGTTCGACCCCAAATGGGGTCCTGACCCAAAGGTTGAGAACCACTGCTTTAGGGAAACAATGTCCAAGAAAATGTAGAATTACTTTGCCTGAATTGGAATGGAGATCTGCCTTTTAATTTCTGTTTTGTTTTCTTGGCTTTATTTCTTCATAGAACTTTGAAGTTAAAGCCGATGACCTGGAGCCAATATCAGAATTAGGACGTGGTGCATATGGGGTGGTAGAGATGATGCGACATATGCCCAGCGGGCAAATAATGGCAGTGAAGGTAGAGTAAGATTCTCTCTTGGTGTGCATTAACCATCCAAATTCACCCCAGCTGTTCTTCAGGATTTCGAAACAGTAAAGTGGATGAGATCAGGCCATATTGTGAACTGCCAGGAACAAGTGTAATGATCAAATTTCATTCAGTTTTGAAAGTCCCAAATAAATAGAGTCTGGCTTATTTGTACATTGGTGAGTTGTAAGTTGTCTGTATTCACGCACATGAATAATTTCCTGTAATTTCACTCCATGCAATAATGATTATGTTTATATCAAATACTAGCATACCAAATTTCATAAAAGCTCATAAAATATATGACTTTTTGTAACTGTTTCCTTTGTTAATAAAGTTGTCAATGGATGATCCAAATTAACATTTTGGGATTGATTGTCATCTGAATAAAGATAAGCAATATTTTAAATATGAAAATTTAAAACAGAAAGAGAAAGAAAGATTTGTCACTTTTCCACTGTATTACAGGAATTTCCTGCACATATATTGATGGCAGATTTTACTGAAACTGATTAGCATACAAAATACAATTGATTATGACTCATTTCCTTTCTAAAAGCTGTGAGAATGGTTAGGTATGCCTTTGGGGAACAGACTAGAGCTTGTTTTTAAAGCAATTACAATAACATGGAATATAAATTTTCTATGGAGTGCCAAACTGCCTATCAGTTGCATTAGGTACAGCTATTTTGATTACTAGGCCAATACGAATATATTATTTAATTTGAGTTACTGCTAAACCATAGTGTAATCCCTTAATATTTTGGTAATATCCAGCTATAGAGTCAAATCATGGTTTAACTTGTTGGCATAACCTCATTGGCCATGGAAGACACAGTTGTCAACAAAGACTTGCTTGTCCTGGGTGACCATAGAGACTGGAGAAGTATGAAAGCCCACTCAGTCAAGGCATTGATAGCAAGAATTCAGTAGCTAATCTACACACACACATACACACACACACACACACACACACACACACATACACCTATCTTTCCCATGAAGATTAACGGGAGAATCCTGGCAGAGTGCATCAAAACTGCCATGCATACAAAGAGCTGTGTTGGATTGGGGCAGGTGAAGAATGCACTCCTAAATCTGGTGCTCTTTCTGTGGTCCCTCTTCACCCAGTGCTCTGCCATTGTTGCCTTGTTAATGATAGACGATCCAAGAAAGCAAAAATAAATAAATGGGGGGGGGGGGGAGGCAGAAAGGCACTTAGGTAATAATGATCATCCTCACATTTGAGGATCTCACAGTCCTCCCAGACATAAATTATGCCTGTGAGGTAGATAAGTGTTATTATCTCCATTTCGCAAAGGCACAAAGATACTTTTTTTTAAAAAAGCTTCACATTGGAGTATCTGTTATGGGGCACTTGTAGCCTAAGCTTACGTTTATACACTCAGTAGTAAGTTAAACTGGATTTCAAAGAAGTTAATCTCCCCACCACCACGGGTAAGTGTGCCGAGCATTGCAGCCTTCTTGTTTAAAGCCATAAAAGCACTGAGTTTTGTCAAAGGATGCTGGGACTCCGGGATTAAAGACTCCCAAGCTACAGTGTTGGCTGGCTTGAACTTTTGTGGCTGCCATCTTTAAACTAACCTAATTTGAAGGCTTCCTACTTCTGATGGGTGGGCCAGCAGGTATTTGTTTCTCTTTGTCCTGCAGTAAAAGAGACGAGTCATTAGAAAAAAAATAACTGGTTAAATTTGCTTGATAAAATAAGCCAAACTCCTAAGTCTACCAATGTAATGCGACTGCTGTGAAAGCAGCATTGGCTGCCAGTTAGTTTTGCAGTGTGATTCAAGCGTTAGTTACCGTGTTTAAGCCCCTACATGGCTGATGGCCTGGGCATGTCTGAAATGATCTCTTTGGTTGATTCTGCCCATCCAATAAAATCAGGAAGAGAAGGTTTGCATCTGTAAGATCTCTTTGGGGGAATGTCATCGTTCTGATTTTTCTAGCTTTTGCTGGTTGTCAGGTGGTTGTCTGATAAAGTATCCGTGTTTAAGAATAGTAAGAGCGAACTTTTAAACTGGCTCTGTTTTCCAGCGAATCCGAGCAACAGTGAATAGCCAGGAACAGAAGAGGCTATTGATGGACTTGGACATCTCTATGAGAACAGTAGACTGTCATTTCACTGTCACGTTCTATGGTGCGCTGTTTCGGGAGGTAGGACTTATGACCTTCTCACACTTTTACCTAGGACGCAGAAAATTATACTAATAACTGGATGGTCATTTAACCTGGGAGTAGGCAACCTATTGGGCTGTTCCTAGCTTGTCCTTCATCTGGCAACTGATTGGATCGTGAAACCAAATAATGCATGGATTTCAGTTCTTCAAATTCTGTCCCATCCTATTATATAATAATAATAATAATAGTAGTAGTAGTAGTAGTAGTAGTAGTAGTAGTAGTAGTAGTAAAAGTTGGAAGGGACCTTGGAGGTCATCGAGTCCAACCCCCTGCTCAGGCAGGAACTCTACACCATTTCGGACAAATGGCTGTCTAGTCTCTTCTTAAAAACTTCCAGTGTTGGAGCATTCACCGCTTCTGGAGGCAGGTTGTTCCACTAGTTAATTGTTCTAGCTGTCAGGAAGTTTCTCCTTAGTTCTAGGTTGCTTCTCTCCTTGATCAGTTTCCATCCGTTGCTTCTTGTCCTGCCTTCAGGCGCCTTGGAGAATAGCTTGACTCCTCTTCTTTGTGGCAGCCCCTGAGATAATTGGAACACTGCTATCATGTCCCCCCTCGTCCTTCTCTTAGTTAAACTAGACATACCCAATTCTAGCAACCATTCCTTATATGTTTTAGCCTCCAGTCCCCTAATCATCTTTGTTGCTATTCTCTGTACTCTTTCTAGAGTCTCAGCATCTTTTTTACATCGTGGTGACCAAAACTGGATGCAGTATTCCAAGTGTGGCCTTACCAAGGCATTGAAGAGTGGCATTAATACTTCACGTGATCTTGATTCTATCTCTCTGTTAATGCAGCCCAGCACTGTGTTGGCTTTTTTGGCAGCTTCAGCACACTACTGGCTCATATTTAAGTGATTGTCCACTAGGACTCCGAGATCCCTCTCACAGTTACTGCTATTGAGCAAGGTACCCCCTATACCATACCTGTATATTTGGTTTTTCTTGCCTAAATGTAGAACCTTACTTTTTTCACTATTGAATTTCATTTTGTTAGATAGCGCCTAGTGTTCAAGTCTGTCCAGATCCTCCTGTATCTTAAGCCTTTCTTCTGGAGTGTTGGCTATTCCTGCCAGCTTGGTGTCATCTGAAAATTTGATGAGTTCCCCATCTATCCCCTCGTCCAAATCATTGATGAAGATGTTGAAGAGCACTGGGCCTAGAACAGAGCCCTGGGTCACCCACTATACACTTCCCTCCATATAGATGCAGTTCCATTGAGTACGGCCGGTCAGCCAGCTACGAATCCATCTGGTGGTGATGCTGTCTAACGCACGTTTTTCTATCTTATCGAATAGTAGGTTGTGATCTACTTTATCAGTCCAAATAAATTATATCCACAGCATTCCTCTGGTCCACTAATTTTGTCACTTGGTCAAAGAATGCAATAAGGTTTGTCTGGGATTAGAACAACCAAAATACTTCAGTCTGCAATTGCTGAAGATTATTCAGAAGGGGGCTTGTGCCTTCTTATGAAAAAAGATGGACTGCTTTAATAACTAGCAGAGAGCTTGCCGTGGTCACATGAAGTCGAAAGCTCTTCTTTAAATCATTTCCAAAATGGGCACAACCAGTTGCTACAGTGCCACCCAGGAGACAATTCAGTTGATACAAAATATCTTCAGTATATACAAAAAACCTAGGCATGGACAGAAAGTTCTGAACAACAAAAAATTCATTTGACCTAGGAGATGAAAAGCTCAGTGGAATAGTATGTGTTTTCATCCAACAATGAAAAACAGCAGAAGAGGTATTGGAAGGATGTGTAATCCCAAATCATCTCACTAAAGAAGTTACGTTGTTGGTATCTCTGATATTTGTTGGACTGCATTAACTATGAGTGTCTTAGTGTATCAGACTATGATGATAGACTTTTCAAAATAGCAAAATCTTAACCTCCCCCCCCCAAAAAAATAGCCAGCAGAACCTTCTTTCTATATCTTTCATCCTTTTCAGAAACAATCAAGTTAAACAGTGGTTTAAAAGGTAGAGCTCTCTCTAGTTCAATGTTGTTGATCAAACACAGTTTCTGTCTGAGGAGCAGTTTGTAAATGATGTATTTTCTCTTTGTTGCTGTTGTTGTTGATGTTGTTAATTGCGAAGTCGTGTCCGACCCATCGCGACCCCATGGACAACGTTCCTTCAGGTCTTCCTGTCCTCTACCATTTTCTGGAGACCCTTTAAGCTCACGCCTACTGCTTCAGTGACTCCATCCAGCCACCTCTGTCATCCCCTTCTTCTATTGCCCTCAATCTTTCCCAGATTAGGGAATCTTCTCCAGTGAGTCCTTCCTTCTCATTAGGTGGTCAAAGTATTTGAGTTTCAACTTCAGGATCTGGCCTTTTAAAGAGCAGTCGGGGTTGATTTCTTCTAGGATTGACCGTTTTGAATGCCTTGCAGTCCAAGGGACTCGCAGGAATCTTCTCCAGCACCATACTTTAAAGTTTCTCTTTGTACCATTATCTAGTTTCTGGTGCCTTTTCTCCACACTTCTATTGCTCATTTTTTTCAATTGGTCAATCTAAACAATTCACATTCCACACAACAGGAAAGGAACCTTTAACACATTCCACCACCCACAGGTCACTCTAAAGCAGTGGTTCCCACCTTTTTCTATACCCCACACCCCTGGAACGCTTCTGATATATTCTCACGCCCCTTACAAAAGTTTGAAATAACGGCAACGAATTATGCATATACTTTTGAAAACCCAAGTTTTCGCACCCTCTGAATATTGTCTCGCACCCCCAATGGAACCCCTGCTCTAAAGTCTGCTGTGTGTGGTAGAAGGCCTTATTAAAAATCTAATATTAGTTGACAAGAAAGCTTTGGAGGCAATGCATATGTGTTTTGGTAAAGATACGTTTTGGTGATGGAAACTGGTCAAAGCTCATGATCACTTACGTGTTCCCCCTTCACCAACTCCCATTTGTCTAGGGTGATGTATGGATTTGTATGGAATTGATGGATACCTCGCTGGACAAATTCTACAAGCAAGTCATTGACAGAGGCTTAACGATTCCTGAGGATATTCTAGGGAAAATAGCTGTCTCTGTAAGTGCTCTACTTTTTAAAAATTTTAATTCTCTTCCAAAAAATGATTTAGCATCAGTGTGGTTGTAAGTCAGAAAAAAACAAAACAAAAACAGTATGACCACACTGCTTAGCAACAGCAGTTCTGGCAGTCCCAGTTGCTGTTGTTACTAAATGGTGATCACGTGTATGGTGCTTTTTAAGAGATTGTTTCTTTTAATTAGTAGATCAGATATTGAAGATAAAACTTGATTTGGCCTTACTTTACCTGCTTCAGGCATGAACCACTTTGGTTCAAATCCAAGGCAGAATCTTTGTACAGAAAATTGCCTGCCAGGTGTTAAGGTTTTCTGCGTTAAATGCCTTGATATTCCGAGACATTTTTAAAAAAGGATTATTTATAATTTGTATATTTTGGGGCAGAGTTTTGTGAAATATGAAGGCATTCCTATTCGTTTTGTAAAAGTAAAAGTTAAACCCCAAACCAAAAAATAAAAGCCTAAAAAAAAAAAAAAAGAATTGTATTTATGTTTTGCTTAGCTGACTCCAGTTAAGATTCTTATATCTTTTCCAAAAGCACTGGGGATGAAAGGGGGGGGGGAAGCTCTTGGTTGGAAGCCGGAGCTGTCAATCACAGAGCTAGACTTCCTCTTTTTCTTTCCTCTTTCCTCTAAGGCAGTGTTTCCCAAACTTGACAATTTTAAGGCATGTGGACTTCAACTCCCAGAATTCCACAGCCAGCATTGCTGGCTGTGGAATTCTGGGAGTTGAAGTCCACATGCCTTAAAATTGTCAAGTTTGGGAAACACTGCTCTAAGGAGCATGGAGGGAAATGTTATTATTTGATTTTATTAGTCTATCTGTCTGCAATCTGCAGTCTGCAGCTTCTTAAACCCTTGAAATAGAAAGGTTCCAGGTGCAGCCTGATCTGCTTTGAGTCGAGTTTGCAGACAAATTGCCTCAATTAAAAAAAAAAAAATCACTTGGAAATGGCCTGCAGTAAAAGCAGGCGTACCAAATTATTATATAGTTACTGTCCCTTAAAAGTTTCTTGGAATACATTGATGGAAGTGGTGGGTAGTACTTTTGACAACGGTGGTAGGGAAGAAACCATTCTCATTAAAGGAAAGGGTCAGAACCAATGTAGAGACAAAAATCTGTTTAACCTTTTGACATTTTTTTTTGCGTTTGTAGAGGTGGTCCTCAACTTATGACCACAGCTGAGCCCCATTTTACAACTTTTCCTGCCACATTTGTTAAGGGAATCATTGCAGTTGTTATATGAGTAACACGGTTGTTAAGTGAATCTGGTTTCCTCATTGATTTTGCTTGTCAGAAGGTCACAAAAGGAGATCACGTGACCCAGGGACCCTGCAGCCATCATAAATGCGAGTCAGTGGCCAAGCGTCTGAATTTTGATCACGTGACGACCATGGAAAAGCTGCAATGGGTCATAAGTGTGAAAAATAGTCATACGTCACTTTTTGCAGTGCCGTTGTAACTTCGGTCACTAAGCAAACTGTTGTTAAGTCGAGGACTATCTGTACAATAGGAGGTGCACATTATTTTATCATGAGATAGGGGGATTTTTTTTAACTTACTGTGCTTAGTAACCAACACACTCTTCATCCTCCAACTCTTTCTGTTCTGCAGGGGAAAAACAATCAGGCTAGATCCTTGCTGTAAAAATATTTTGATCCATTGGGAGAGGACTGGAATTCCAATCAAAAATTTCCCCCCATCAAGGGGGAAAGGAGGAGTAGAGTCTGACCCTTGGAAGAAAGGGGCTCATTATATCTTTCACTTGGTCACGCTGCTAAAGGTTCTGGGCATGAATCATGTTTTATTATGTTGGTATTAGACTGCAGGCTCAGCATTCTTCTGCTGGTTAATTACCAAAATGCCCAACCCCAGACTGTCTCTACCTGAGTTAAGTGTTGAAATGGGGGTGAGGGGGGGGGTGAACTTGTGCCCTGAAATAACTATTTCTGCTTCAGCAGCTACAGCTCAGTCTCTCTGTCTCTCTTGTTGTGTGTTTCAGATTGTAAAAGCATTAGAACATCTACATAGTAAACTCTCTGTAATTCACCGAGGTAAGTAAGCACCAGCGTGGTGCAATTCTCACATATGTCTCAGCTGTGAAAGAGGTAGCAGGACTTTTTGATCAAAGATCTGTGGTTACTTGATCCAGGACCCACAGTTACTTGTCTCTCCTCCCCCCTCCTTTTTTTTTTCTTCTTCCTTTGCCTTCCAAATGCTTCTTGGATCATGTCATCGACATTCAGCTTTACAATGCCATGATTTTTGTTTGTTTTAAAGAAGCAAAATATTTCATTTAACTGCTGTGGGTTCAAAGTGAACAATAAAGAAAAACCCCAGCCGAACATTTTAATTCATCCCCCTTCCCTGTGGGGATGTCACTGCAGCCCTAGGGCACTGGGCAATAGTGCTTTTGCATAATAGTAGCTTCCTGTTTTCCCAGATTTTTTTTTACCTAAAACTTTTGGCTAGGCAGTGGAATGCCATGCTGTTATTTTAAGGTGACTACTTTGTATTGTATCATTTGGAATAATGGTTCTCTTTCTTTCTTTCTTTCTTTCTTTCTTTCTTTCTTTCTTTCTTTCTTTCTTTCTTTCTTTCTTTCTTTCTTTTTTCAAATAATTTATATTGCCTCCTACTCACTCAAGACAGCTTACAGGAGATTAAAAACATAATATAAAAGAAATAAAAACAATAAAAATAATAAAATAATAACCCTGTCTATGCCGGCAACAACACACACTCATACCAGTCACTTAATGAGCTCCATCCCACTGTGGGTTCCCCAGTCCTGCTGGCAGAACCATGTATTCAGGGCCTTCTTGCTTGTCTGTAGTGCTTTTCTCTCACCTTAAAGTTTAGGGGGACTTTTCTCAGCAGCAGGGATTGAGCTATAGAGAGCAACTAAAGTCAACCCAAGTTTCTTCCGACTTAGGGGACAAACTGAGTAATCATCAATACAACTGAAATGTCACATACTGTCCTCTGGATTGTGACTGGAAATCCTGCCTCGCTGCAGTTCATAGACATCCAGGACGGAGAGATTTTTCATTGCAGTAGCTTGATGAGTGGATAGTTATCAAGTCAAGAGCCAGCTTTCATCTCAAAGCTCTGTGAAACGCTCCCATACCTTAGTGCTAATCAGAGGTCCTGTTTGTCTGTTTTCACAATAAGGTGTTGGTGGATGTTTTTCATATCTTGCTTTAAACTACAGGAAATACACTTAGTCGCGTTCTGTCTGAATGCTGTAATAGATAGTGAATCCAAAATGGGTAGACTAAGCTTCGTGACTGCCATGATCTCAAATTAGTGCCTATGTAGAAAAGAAGGCCTCAAGCATGTTTACGATGCTTATATAATAGTAGCACCTAGGCTTCTATACCGTTCCATAGTGCTTTACAGCATCTCTAAGCGATTTACAGAATTTGCATATTGCCCCCCAGCAATCTGGGTCCTCATCTTATCCACCTCAGAAGGATGGAAGATTGAGTCAACCTGGAGCCGGTCAGGATCGAACTCCTGGGAGTGAGCTGAATTAGCCTGCAATATTGCATTCTAATCACTGTGCCATCATGATTACATAGGTAGTCCTGACTTACCAATTGCCTTATTTAGCTCGAAGTTACAATATAATAGTACTGCAACCTGTAAAACAGCACTGTAAAAAAATAGCACTGCAACCAATCCTTGCATTTTATTTATATATTAAACAAATTTACATAGCCTCCCAGCTCACACATGGAGACTCCAGGTGGCATACAACATTAAAAGTTCACAAAAATTTACTATTTAACTCTCCCGACCCCTACCTCATTGACTACAGAATCAAACAAGCCACTTGATTGGCTCCGAATGGAGTTTCCAGGCCCATTAATGACTCTTGCAGCATCCTGCAATCATATGATTGTCATTTGCAGGATTCACAACTAGCTTGTGACAAGCAGAGTTAATGAAGGAGATGGATATAAAATTATACATTGCAGTCACATGATTTTTTTTGCTTAATGACTGTGGCACTTAATGATCAAAGAGGAAGTGAAGTTATAAGCCACCATGTGATATGTTTAGTGACAGCACACTTAGTGAATGAATTGCTGGCCCCAATTGCGGTTTCTAATTTTGACCATCTTTGTCAAAATTGAATACCCTCTCTCAACAGAGGGGGAGGGATCCGACATCATCGATCTACAACACAGTCCTTTCAACAGTTCCAAGAAGGCTCCACACCCATTTGAACTACTCAGGTGACCCTAAAGACACAGATGAGCCTCTAGGTAGCACTAACAACTAGCTAAAAGAATGCAAATGAGCAGCTGTCTGCAAGGAATATAAATCCTTCCATTCCCCACCATCCAGTCAGAATTGACGAAGCTTCTTGGATGAGAAGCAAAACATCTTCAAAGAAAAACAAAGTCCAGTTGCCTCATGAAAAAAGCATCTTTGGGATAACTATGACCTGGATGACTGAGAATCTCCATAAATGTGTGTGTGTGTGTGTGTGTGTGTGTGTGTGTGTGTGTGTGTGTGTGTTATGTATGCTATCTTGAGCTCTTGAATGCAAGGTATAAATTGATCAGTCAAATAAGTATCAACAATTAACCAGGTTTCATTTTGCTCCATGGAGAGAAGAAACTTTGAAAGAAAGTAGTCTTCTCAGTGCCAATTCTTAGGTTTTTCTTTCTAATTAACATACAGCTAAAAGCATTTGCCCTTCTGTTTGAACTCCATTAGCTGTTTCCTCAGTGTAAATTAATAGAATTATTGGTTGGAATAAATGCCAGACTACAGTCTACGGAAAAATATGTGCGTGCATGCATGTGTGTGCGCACACGTGCATTTTGTGTGTAGATCCTTTTACTTTAAGCCAACAAATAAATGGTGTATTGCTGTGGCTGCCCTCTGCTGGTGATACCCATGTTAGCCTGCTTCCTTTTTCACCATAATCTGCAACTAGGAGAAAAAAAGGGAGTGCTTGCAAGCAATGACTTTCCACTGTAATTTATTTTGCAGATGTCAAGCCTTCCAATGTACTGATTAATACACAAGGACAAGTGAAAATGTGTGACTTTGGAATTAGTGGGTACCTCGTTGATTCTGTGGCTAAGACAATGGATGCTGGCTGCAAACCGTATATGGCAGTAAGTGCAGTGAATCGTGAAACCTTCAGGGGAAACTGTCACATCACTTTGTATGCACACTGACAGATATTTGCTTTGTTTTATTAAATTTCAGAAATATATATGTATATGTGTAACACATACATACATATATACATATTCTCTATATACATATACATACAAACATACATACTGTATGTATTGTTCAGTCACTAAGTCATGTCTGACTCTTCGTGACCCCTTGTGTGTGCGTGTGTGTGTGTGTGTGGTGTGTGTGTGAAGGGGATTACAGGGTTGTAAAAAGTTTACGTATGTATGTATGTATGTATATATATATGAACATTCTACATTTCTGATGTATTCAAGGTTGTTTTGCATCTGAATAGCAACAAATACCATAGAAACAGCATAAATAGTAGAAAAGCAGTAGAGGAATAAAGGTCTAAAGATTTGGCTTGGTGAAAACTTGTTAAAATGACTTTATGCTTATCTTGTAAAATGAAGCAACGTTTTAGAGTAGCTGTTTTGCTCTAAGGTGCCATGACTGAAAAGATTGTGTCTCAGATCAGAACTTAACAAATTCTGTCAACGGGAGGATCTGAAATAGAGTCTCACAAGATGACTTTAGAGCAGTGTTTCTCAACCTTGACAATTTTAAGGCATGTGGACTTCAACTCCCAGAATTCCACAGCCAGCATTGCTGCTGTGGAATTCTGGGAGTTGAAGTCCACATGCCTTAAAATTGTCAAGGTTGAGAAACACTGCTTTAGAGAATGTGGCTTCGTAATGCCAGTTTCCAGCCAGTGATGTTGACCAAGTTCATAATGACCTGTTTCAGAATACAGTTTTCTGCAGTTTGTAACAGTAAGATCTGTTACAACTAGTTTTGATAACAATGAACTTCTAAATGGATACTCGAAAAACCAAGTTATCACCATCAGTCTTTGGTTCCGTGCCCTCCTAACCAATTTTCATACTAGCACTGAAATTGGAGACATAGGAAGGGGTTACTTGGAACTGTCAATTCCCAGTCTCCAAAACTAGGAAGAGGACTTGTTATTATTCAGAACCACCATAGAGATAGGGTTTGGAAAATACATTGGAAACTATTGTGGCTGGCTGGTGTGCTGCTTTCCTGCCATACATCCAGCCATAGGACTTCATTGGTTTCACATTCAAGGAAATGTTTTAAGTACTTCTCAAGGATTAGATGAAAGACCCAGATAGAAGCTGCTGCAGTAAGAACACTGGAGATAAGGAGCCACATGCACACGTTCACTTTAAGCAGAAAGAATAATTTGATGTGTTATTCAAACCAGAATGAGAACCTTTGACTATGCTCAGACAAGTTGACTATTCCCCAGCCTTTCCTTTTCAGAGGCAGTGAAACAGCTGGATTGGAACTCTTGACCTTTCCTTTGGAGACACTTGAACCCAGGGAGACCAAACGCTATGCTCCATCATGGCATAGTGCTCTGTGCAGCTTTAAAATCCCAAAGAGCATTTAACATTTATGCCCCCAACCCAACCTTTTCATCAAGTTAGACTGGCTCAGATGAGGTGTGTTGGATTCTGTTGCAGTACAATGCAGTAGGTGCCTTTGGGCAGTGGTGAAGCACTTATAGCCTTCCTGAAGGGAATGTCTGGAGCTATTACATTAATAGTTCACATGGGGATTGGTAATTACAGCTTCTCCTCTGGCAATTAAGGTCAGCCAAAAATAGTTGAAACCTGATACTTATAAGATGAAAATGAGATGCAGCATATATGCAATCCGCAGTGCATACTTAATTGGAAGTAAACTGTCTTGAACCTCTTAGTAAAAAACTATCTGAGAGTCTCATGAGACTCGGACATTAGGTATAATTCAAAGTTGCACAAGTATAGCCAAATAATGTTGATTTTTTTTTTTTAACTAAGAGCAAACTTGGAGAATCTCATATGCCTTGGGGAAAGGAAGTTGCATAATCCACTATTGTCTGAGGAAACAGGGAAGCAGTCTGACCTGACTAATCTGTAGTTCAGATGAAAGTAATTAAATACTGTTTTGCAAGTCTCCTAGTTTCCCTTTTCTTGATTTTTTTCCTATGTTCTTAAGAACTTCCCTCCCAATATCTTAATATTATATGCATATGCTGATGCGTTACTACTAGAACTATAGTACCATAGTAAGCATCAAGTTCATTTCTTACAGAAATACATCTACTTTCCTACATTTGGCTGGAGATTCCTGTGCTTTTGCTGGAACTCTTTCAGCTTGCATACACTGAGCCAATTGTGAATTGAGCAGAAATGAATTTGTCACTGTCTCAGCTGCCTTCTATGGGTCATGCATGGCTTGTCATGCCATCTTAATACTATAATAAACTTACTGGGATTACATGCAAATCTGCAAGGATCTTCTCCATCACAATTAAGCAAAATGCATAAACCTGTCAGGGAGGATGCTCTGCTGAGAAATTTTCCAAGCCTGCAGGGCTTCGGAATATTAACACTCTTGTTTTGGCTGCCATCTGTGATTTCTTCCCTTTTGAGGAGTCTTTGCAAGCTGCTGTTTTTTTGTACTAGCAAGATGTGATTATTGGCTTTGAAACGCTTGCATGCTATTGCATTAAGGAAGACAACATCATTTTTGGTTGCCTTTTTAAAGAAATACCCTCAGACTGGAGAACATGTAAGATGGGAGTTGTGCTACGTGTTTTGTTAAGATTGGCACCAGCTTCAAACCAAAAGCAAGATTCTCACACAGTTTTGTTAACAAGATTTATTGAACTGAAACTAATTCGTGTATTGTACAAGAATTTCCAGAACTGATCATAACGGAACACCTTTATCTTGAATTTCTTAGAGTGGAGACTTACTCTGCTTTGTCTTAATGATTGTCCTATAAAGTGGTGAAGAGGCAAATGATGGGAGACCTTCCATCTGGCTTTACCAAACCATCTCCTGAATCTTTATTAGCCTGTGAATAGATCTTTACCTCAAGCTTTTTTCACAGAACATTTTATCCAGTCACCCACTACAGCAATCATTGTTTTGTACCAGTCATTCTGGCAGCACATTGTCACATTAACTGGTCAAAAAGCATGAGTTGGGGGAATGCAAAATCTTACCCACTTCTGACTGGTATCCGATAGCAATAGCACTTAGGCTTATATACCGCTCCACAGTGCTTTACCGCACTCTCTGAGCAGTTTACAAATGTCAGCACATTGCCCCCAATAATCTGGGTCCTCATTTTACCGACCTCATGAGGATGGAAGGCTTAAGTCAACCTTCAGCCGATCAGGATTGAACTCCTGATAGTGGGCAGAGTTATCCTGCAATACTGCATTCTAACCACTGCACCACCACAGCTCCCTTCCACCAAGAATCATTTGACATTGTTGCGACAAACATCAGTGGGCATGGTCAATCAGTGCCAAGGAGGGCATGTTCTCTGATTGCCAGGATTCCATCAATGAGTACTATCATGGAAACCTTATTATGCCATTCTTTAAACTGAACTTTCCCATTGGCCCATTGTTAGTATGGGCCAATCACAAGCATAGGAACAAATGATGTCTTCTTCCCATTGCCAGCCAATTACAAATGCATCTCATATCTATTTCTTCTAGTTGCAATTCAAAACTATTGTTTTTTTTAACATGTCTAACTTAGGCTGTTGAGAGATGATGAACTTCATGCTTTATTCCATTTCAGTAGCAGCCCCAGTTCTAATTGGCTTCAGCAGCTGGCATGCCTACTACCTTCCAGCCTTCAATCACTACCCTGGACAACCATCTTCTGTTTTGATTGGCAGGTGTTGGTGGCTTGCTTTTTCTTTAATCATTTTTCAGTTGATTCAATAATGAACTGTACCTCAATGAATTATCCTTATGATCCCTTCAACTCTTACATCTCCCAGTGGGCATTCTTTCAGTTTTTGCCTTATCTGGGTGAAGTATGCACCTCTTGCTTTCCTAATCCTGCCCACAATCCTGGAGAGTTTCTCTTTGCTTTATTTTTAAAACAATTTTAATTTGCAAAGGTACATTGTTAATTTTGTTTCTGTGAAGCTCAATTATTCTTTGCAGCAAGGTTTTTGCAGCCTAAAAGAACAACCTTCTCCCTATTATTTTGATTATTGTAGCCTAAGGGAAAAAAAATAAAAAAATAATGTCTTTGTTAATGTCAAAGGTAATATGGAGAGGGATGAATATGTCTATTTGTGCAAAGGTCGAGAGGAGCAAAAACAGGAATTCGTAGACCAGTCCACACTGAACCCAGCCATCAAAGTATACTTTTCCTTTCATGGATGGGATAGGCAAGAAGCAGAACAATGACTAATCAGTTCTAGTGGTGCCACAATCTATGCAATCCAGACTGAAATTGAGTTAAGAAACAGAACAATATGGAGAAGTAGCGTACAGTGCAAAATTGCACTTTATTTTCAACTTCTTTTTAAAAACTGATTAGTCAGGGTTTTAGAAGTGCCCTATTTTTGACTGGGTTATCTGTTGCTGGTCAACTCTGCTAATTACAAAGGCTTCGTTACATTGGCCAGTCAGACATCTGTGGGCATGGCTTGGTGTCCTTGTATCCTAGAAAGGGATACAAATTGCTGTTTATAATTAACCTGGCTTTTGTAAAACTAACCCTCTCCTGTCCTGTTGCTTACTAGGTCATAATACAATTTGGCTACTTTGCCTTTGATTCAAAGCATATTGTATAGAACCAGGACCAGTTTAACTTGATTTAATAACAGTTTGGGCTGTTACTTTTCTCATAGGAGAAGTAGAACATTCTTCCATTCCCTGAGTGGAAAGTTAAAACTAACTATATATCAATGTAATTTCTCTCTCTCTCTTTTTTACTCCCCATTCAAGCCTGAAAGAATCAACCCAGAACTAAACCAAAAAGGATACAGTGTAAAATCCGATATTTGGAGTCTGGGGATTACAATGGTAAGAATACATTACTGAGGAATGATGCCAGGATTAATTTTATTATTAATTTTATTCTACTGACCTTTGCAATTCAAAATCCTTGCAATCTGAAATGGGTTTAACTGCATTTAAATTAAGGAGGTCTATAGCCTAAATGTATGGGTTCAAAAAGGGGGAAATTGCATTGAAGGTTCTTGAGTAAATTGATTGTGTTCTGTTGGCAAGTCACTGTAAAGTCACTGACCTTGGAGAAGGGATGAGAGAGCCACTAAGGCAGGGGTGTCAAACTGCCGACCCATGGGCCGGATGCGTCATGCCAAAACCGCACCCACCCCATTGCTGGCAATGGGAAAAAAGTTGTGATGTTGCCACACATCACGTGATGTCGCGAATTTGACACCCGTGCACTAAGGGGAAAAGGAGAGTGAGCTTTTAAAAAGGGACCTGACCTTTTAAGAGCTTAGACAGTCCCAAGAAAGGAGAAAGTGTGAGAAAGATACTCAAGATAACCCTTGCCTTGATTTTGTTGAGTATAAAATGGGACAGAAAGAAACTCTTTTTTTGCACCTTTACAAAGCAGATCAGTGGATCCCCCCCATCCCTCCCTCCCTCCCTCCCTCCCTCCCTCCCCTCTCTCTGTTTCATTAGCACCATGTCTGCAGGAGAGAAATACACATTCGGGATTAACATTAAGGTTTCGTCTAGCAAGTATGAATAATTCTCTGAGAAATTATCACTCCCCTTTTATTGCAACAGCCCTCATAGACTGGGCAAAGGGAGAAAAGCACACTCTCCCCTGGCACCCCGTGTCTTCTACAGAAGCTGTGGATACGTTGCACAAACCAGAAGAACTGCAGCTTTGAAATATTCCCAGAGACATGCTGTCTCCAGAGACATGCACAGGCTGTGCCTCAGAGGCACCAAATGAGCCCAGTGTTTCCAAGGAAAAATGGAAGGGGGGGGGGGACGACAAGCACAGCCTCGGGCAGAAATCATAAAAAAGAAGTTGTAATTTCTGCTCTCAGCCTGCAGGTGGCAGCATGCAACAGCATGGGATTGAGTTTGTGTATCTTCTTTTCATATTTTTCTTTGGGGAGACAATGGGAGGGGGAGGGAGTGAAGAGTCACCGGAAGATGTCTTGATGTCTCCCTGTCTTTTGTTTTTGGACCTAGATTGAATTAGCAATCTTGCGGTTTCCATATGACTCCTGGGGGACGCCGTTCCAGCAGCTCAAACAGGTAGTGGAAGAACCATCACCACAGCTCCCTGGAGACAAGTTTTCAGCTGAATTTGTTGATTTTACCTCACAGTGGTAAGAACATTCTTCCTGAATCATGTGAGAAGTCAGATATAGCTTCATTAACCTTTGAATTTGCTCACATATTACTGGGGGCATACATGTGTATCCTGACATGCTGACCAGAGATAAATGCAGCGTAAAACCAGGCAGTTGCTTCCAAAATGCCCTGGAATCCCAAGCGGAGAGGATGCCTCGATTATCTCTAAAATGAGCTATTTTTCACGAAAGGAGAAATTGGCAAGGGGAAAAAAAAACCAGTTGCTTATGAATTGTTTTCTAACTGCATCCCAATCAGGCTGTCAATACAAATATTGGAACAGGACTGCAATAGCTGTTCAGGAAAGTAGTAAAGACATAATTTGAATCTCAGCTACATGCATTCTTGTTTCTAAGTCCCACAATGCTTCTCCTTTAAAAAATGAAACATGAATTAAAATGTTTCTGGGCATAGCACTAATGGTCTCTGCTTCTCAAACATTTATTGTAAATAATTAGTCCTAATAATCATGTTGAAGTTTCTATGGAGATTCTCAGTGATCTAGGTCATATAGTAGTTATCCCACAATGCTTGTTCATGGGGCAGCTGGACTTTCTTGTTTTTCTTTGAAGACCTTTCGCTTCTCATCCAAGAAGCTTCTTCAGCTCTGACGGGATGGTGGGGAATGGAAGGATTTATATTCCTTGCAGACAGCTGTTCACTTGCATTCTTTTAGCGAGTTGTTAGTGCTACTTGGAGGCTCACCTGTGTCTTGAGGGTCACCTGAGTAGTGCAAATGGGTGTGGAGCCTTCTTGGAACTGTTGAAAGGACTGTGTTGTAGACTGGAGATAGATGATGTTGTATCTTAAGAGAGGACTGTTCAATTTTGACATGGATGGCCTCTTTGACCCCTCTTTCAAACCAGCGATCCCCTCTGTCCAAAATGTGGACTTTGCTGTCTTCGAAAGAATGGTCTTTGTCTTTTAAGTGCAGATAGACTGTTGACTTTTGTCCTGATGGGTTTATTGGCACAGCATAGGAAAACAAACCCATCAGGACAGGGACTTCCTACCCTTCCCATTTGCTGGGGCCGTCATGGGTGAGGTGGCAGGCAGGAGGCTTGTTGAGGTTGGATGGTGGGGGCTGACCATGCAGGGATCATGGCGTGGCGCCACCCCTGCTTTATCCCCTGCCTCGCCGTGTCTGGGGCGGCCCCGTGGGCCAAAGCTGGGCCCATCGTGGGATGGATCTGGCCCATAGGCCTTGTGTTGGACATGTCTCTGCTGAAGGCTCTGTCTGTCCATCAGCAAAATAACTCTCTGAAAACAAAACAACAGAATGCAAACAGATTTGCAAGGGGAAGCCAACAAAAGAAAGATTTTGTTTGAAACTGGTTGGACTTGCCAAGGGGGATGTGAAAAACAATTCCCACTATAGTTGTGCAGCATTTTGGAATTCTGCTTAATGCTTATTTCTGTCCCCACTTTTTAAGTGGCACAGTGTAACATTTGCAACCTGTCAGTCCTAACCCAAGGAAAGAGTAAAAATCTAGGAGCCATACATATGCACTTGTCCCCAAACACACAAAGAAAGAAAAAACACAGATGGTCCTCGACTTACAACCATAACTGAGCCCAAAATTTCAGTCGCTAAGCAAGACAGTTGTTAAGTGAATTTTGCCCTATTTTGCAACCATTCTTGACTCAGTCGCCACAGGTTTTAATAATATGGTTGTGAAGTGAATCTGGCTTCCCCATTCACTTTGTTTATCAGAAGGTCACATTGCAACGCTCATAAATACATGCCAGTTGCCAAACATTGAGTTTTTGATCACATGACTATAAGATGCTGTAACAGTTGTAAATGTGAAAAATGGTCATAAGTCACTTTTTCCAGTGACATAACTTAGAACAGTCACTAAACCGTTTTTAAGGAGAAGATGGAAGAGACAGGATCAGAAAAAGGAAAGGAAGCGAAGTTGTTGTGCAGGAATACAAGCTAATTTGAGGGCTAATCAACATGGAGCTCTGTTTCCATCTGTCTTGTTTGCCATCGTTCACTCCCTAGAGACTAAAATGGACGTTCTGAAACTTGAACTGCCCATGAACAAGGAGTGTATATCAGAGGTGGTGATCCTTTGAGAGCTGTATGCAATGAAATTTCATTTTGATGTATGCCGATTGGGGTACATTCAAAGTGATAATAAAGTTGTTCTTGTTATTATTATTAAACAAATGTTTAGTTTTAGGTTGGGGACTACCTGTACTTTGTTATACTGAAGAAAATACAGACATCTCCTATGACTGCCGCTAGTCAAGACGTTGGAAGAATTCCAAGCTCTCCATCTTTACCTCCCTCAATATGTTTATTAAATATGTTCATTAGAAGTATACCTGGCAGATATTTCTAATGAACTTATCATTTGCTATTCTACTTTTGAGGGAGATGAGCAGTTTAGAAACATGAAATATATATACATACATACATACATACATACATACATACATACATACATACATACATATATATATATATATATATATATATATATATAAAATCAAAATAAATGTTGACACTTGTTCAGAAACTAGAAATATAAAACAAAACTTTCATGGGGTGATAACTCATGTTTAAAAAATGCTAAAGTATCGAATAGTGAGTATTCATTCTGAATTACTTCTAACCTTGTAATAAACATTGCCAAACAAACAAAAGAAAAACATAAATGTTATGAAATACAAAATCTCAAACATCTCAGTGTTTCAGAACTGTTTTTAGCATATCAGGTTTCAGTATCCTTTAAGCTTGGGTGTCATACAAAGTCTTCTATTTTCTTGTTTGCCAAGGACAAAATGGTCCTCAGTAAGAATCAGTAGTTGAGAGTTCAGATTGGATTGGCCTGGAATTAATGGGGAAGATGTAACAAGGCAGAACATATGAATTCCAATCTCTGTGGCTTGTGATCATTGCCTGTAAATAGTGACTGTAAGTTTTAAGTTCAATGGATTTGAATTTAGGAAAAAGGAGATAACTACCAAAATACTTTGAGGTGAAGAACATAAAAAACAGAGAAAGGTCTACAAATGTTAAGATGGAGTGAGAATGAGATTAAAATAATAGGAGAAAGAACAACAAAAGGAAGTAGAAGACACAGAGGGAGAGAAGGAAATAGAAGTTGGTTTCTTATATCAAAAGTAGTTATGTATTTTTTTTAATTTCCCACTTAGAAGGCAAAGCATTGGCAGAAGAGAAAGTAGGGTTAAAACCATTGTGCTAAAATAATGAGCTGGCCTCTCTAACTTGGGCTTCTTCTGAAATCCTGATTAACACATTTCTCCCTAGAGTTGTGGGTCGATTTGTGACTATTGTTGTGTCTGTGCTGGTTTATGTTTAGGCCTGTCAGATTTGTTGTAATTATTTTCTGCAGAGACTTATTCTCATAAAGTTCTTTCATATTTTTTAAATATATGTTCTCTGAGCCTAGACAAAATATGTCCTTTGCCTAAAATGAAATTACTTTGCAAAATCTCTAAATAATGCGGTGGCCACAATAAGATTGCAACGATAGTGGGTGTTAATTATGTTATCCTGTCGATCTTGGAAGGTGACATATTATACCCAATCTTTGCAAGATTAGCTTCTGATTGCTTTATAAATAAATACAAACAATTCTAAAAAAAGAAGAAAACTTTTTTTCCAGTCTGAATTTTTTGGGGTTTTTTTTGTGGTGTTTGGAAGTGGGTTTTTTAATAGACATTCATCCATGGCTATGAAAGAACCACCCTGAAGCTTTCTATAAAAGTAATCCCATTGTTTTGAAAACAGGCAGAAGCCCTCAAAGGAAATGGGCAAGGTACAGTAAGATTGTCCTTTACGCAAACTAGCTTTACTTCCACTGCCGTCTTCCTGAGCTAAGCCATGTGTCTCAGTGAACTTTTCCTAAAGGACTATTTACAGTGGCTTTCAGGAAATATGTCACATTGACCCCCCAGAAGATTATAGAGGAACTAAGATTGTTTCTCAGACTTTTAAGCCATTTTGGGGGGGTGGACAAGAAACCCTCAAAGATAAAATTGTGGTGAGAGATCGGGCCAGGGAATCAAAATTAGTGTGGAGAAAGCAATGTAGTTCTTTCATTTCTGACGTTTGCTCATAAGAGTGACATTAAATGGAATTCTGCTCTTTTCTTTTTGTCAAACAATACTTGGCAATATTCCTCGTGTTGGTTTGGAGGCATTTATATCTATTTGGAAGCATTCATCTGGAACTGCAGAGCAGCCCTTTCACTGAGAATGGAAAAATAAAAAGCTTGATGGCTAGTTTTTTCATAGTATAGCTCAAATCTGTTCAAATAGTTAGTAATGTGGTGGTTGCTCCAATTTCTGTGTGTCACAGTATGAAAAACAATAATGTATTAACTTCATTTCGTTTTATTTCTTTTTCCTTCTTTAACTTTGTCCAGAACAATTGTTTCCAGAGTATATTCAGGAGCCTATTAAAATATCTGAGATTGCTGCAGATGTGTAGTGTGAACACTAAAATAAAACATCTAGAGAGATCACTAGAGCTTACAAAATGTTGCCAACATTATTTGAAATCTCATGAGATTTAAGACAAGAACATCAAAAATTTGGTGATTTTACAAAATTTTCAGCCTTTTAATAATAAAAAAGGCTCCCATAGAAACTATCAGGAAGGTGGTATTTCCCCTGAAGCCCACAAATATGTATTACCAACACTGGCTTATTTTGTGGTCTTACAAAGGTTTCTGTGATATTATATCAATGCAGATTAGAAAGAAAAATTGAGGTCCATTTGTTAACACCACCTTCTCCAATGTAGCACTCTACAAATGTTGTAAACCTGTATCTCCCACAATTCCCATCAAGCATCTCCTCCTCCTCCTCCTTCTGCCATATCCATTATTGGACGAATGTTGTATACCTGTATCTCCCACAATTCCCATCAAGCATCTCCATCTCCATCTCCTCCCCCTCCCCCTCCCCCTCCCCCTCCTCCTCCTCCTCCTCCTCC